CCATTAGGCACACCGCCTCCCTTGGGGATGTGGGTCCACGTGCCCTTGTTGCCGAGGAGCGGGTCCGCCGCTGGGAACGTGGTGGCCCAGAAGATCAGGATGCGATCGCTAGGCATCGACCCGTCCGGGAGGAGCCGCACCCAGCGATCGAACCTCCTCGCGTCCGGCTGCCCCGCAGCGGGGGCAGGGCCGCCTGGCCCCCCCAGGCCGCCTGGCCCCCCCTGGCGGCTGAACTCGACGAACAGCGGGTCGACTACCGGAGCACCGAGGACGGGGACGAGGCAGCGCTGCGGGCCCGCCTGGAGGGCCCCCTCACGCGGGGCCTCGCCCCCAGGGCTCTGGAGCGGGAACTGTGTGTGGAAGGGAACGGCGCAAGGCGCTGATGAGCCGACTCCCGGGGTCGTCGCGGGGCACTGGGTGGTGGACGCCGCCGCAAGCTCGCGCCAGTTCTTCCACGGCGCCACCTCTGCCAAGGGGCCCTCGTCAGTGCGGAGGGAGGGGGGCCCACCGCCTGGGCTCGAGAGTGCTGGTGTAGCACCGGCGGACAGCTGGGCGCTCCACTCTGTCCAGCAGTTGTGGCAGCATGCGCTGTCCGAATGCTCCCGCTCGCCCTGCACGAGGGGGCCGTCTGACGCCCCACACCCGGCGCACCTGGGGCGGAGGGCCTCCAGCGAGACTGCCTGCGGCGACTGTGAGGATGGCGGCACCTGCCCCTGTACCTGCCCCCCGCTCGGCGCAGCGGCCGCGCCTCCCTCTCCTGCATGCTGCTGCTGCGTGGGCAGCGGCACCTGCTGCTGCGGTGGCGTTGCGCTCTGCACGGCCGCCGCGCCTTCCCCTTGCACGGGCGGCGGCGTCGGCCAGAGGGTTGTCTGGCCCGGGGGCGGGCCGCCAGTGGCCGCTGCAAGGATCCACATCTCCTGCTCCGAAGGTGGGAGCAAGCCCCACTGACGCTTCACCGAGTGGGTGTACAACGTACAACGTCTTGGCGGTCGGGCCCGCTGGAGGGGGAGTGATTTTCTCTGTTGCTGTCGCGGCGGCCCAGAGGGCGAGCCGGAGTGAGCTGCGCCACGCCATCCAGTAGTCAAGGACTGTTTGTGTAGGCGCGTCGGCCAGGCGCGCCTGCTTCGCGGCGGGGGCCCCCTCGATCTCCATGACCTGCGGCGGGGTTTGTCCTTCGCTGCAACACTGGGGGGCGCGGTTGACCTGGAACGGCTTCGGACAACACAGGAGAGAGGGGGAGAGAAGAGGGGGGGGAGGGGCATGCATTCGGATCCTGAGGGCAGCCGCCAGACCCTGGTTCGACTGCGGGCCCCGATGCAGGGGGCGCCGGGGGCTCGCGAGGAACCGGGAGGAGGCATGCCTACAGGTCTGTGTGCAGCGGCCTCCCGGGGAAGGCCCAGCCAGGCCCGGCCCAGCCCCACGACCACGCGCCCTGACCCACTCGGCTCAGGTCCCGGAGGAGGGCCAGCGAGGACAACGGCGGCCGCCAGCGGCCCCAGGGCCCCATCCAGGGGCCAGGAGCAGCCAGTTCGAGCAGCGCCAGGCCATGGCGACAAGGGGCCCAAGAGGGGCCAAAGCGATCACCGAGGGCGCATAGCGAGGGCGCTGGCCGTGTTACCCACAGCCGTGGTCAACGAGGAGGAGGAGGAGGAGGAGGAGGAGGAGGAGGAGGAGGAGAGGAGGAGGAGGAGAAGGAGGAGGGGAAGGAGGAGGGGAGATGAACGGGAAGAGGGGGAGGAGGAGGAGGAGCCGAGGAGGAGGAGGAGGAGGAGGAGGAGGAGGAGGAGGCAGGAGGAAGGCGTGAGGAGGAGGAGGAGGAGGAGGAGGAGGAGGGGTGAGGAGGAGTTGATGAGAGTGGTGGATGGAGTGGGGAGGATGTAAGGAGAAGCGGGGAGGAGTGAGATGAGGAGGAGGAGGAAGGGAGGGGGAGGAGGAGGAGGAGGAGGCGGAGGAGGAGGAGGAGGAGGAGGGAGGGAGGAAGGGGGAGGAGGGGTGAGGAGTAGCAGGAGGGAGGAGCAGGAGGAGGAGGAGGGGAGCAGGAGGAAGGAAGAGGAGGAGGAGGAGGAACAGTAGGAGAAGGAGGAGGAGGAGGAGGAGGAGGAGGAGGAGGAGGAGCAGGAGGAGGAAGAGGAGGAGGAGGAGGAACAGGAGGAGAAGGAGGAGGAGGAGGAGGAGGAGGAGGAGGAGGAGGTAAATCATAATGGATTTTCTTGGATTATTTGGTCGTTGGGTCAGTGTGTTAGTGGTTTTCGTATGTGTTTTATTGGATTTCATGTTTTTCTTGGTTTCCTGGTCTGCCCGCAGTCGCCCCGAGGACCCCATCCCTGCCGACGGCGGGCCGCGGGCAGGACAGAAATCCACGACATCCAGGGAAACCAACACAACACAATGACCAACCAATGCAACACCCCATCGACCAAGTACACAAAGACCCCATTTGCTTTCTCCCTCCTCCGCCCCCTCAATTGTCCTCGGCCTCCTCCTCCTCCCCTCTCCTCCTCCTCCTCCTCCTCCTCCTGCTCCTCCTGCTCCTGCTCCCCCCCCCGTCCTCCTCCAGAAGACCCTGAGGACCCCAGGCCTGCTTTCTCATCCTGGTCATCCTTTCCCCCCTCGCCCTCCACCTTCCCCTCTTCTGGGGGTCTCTCCATCCCAAGGAATCCAAATATTGCATCGTGAGTGTGCGTTTGGCACCCACGCGACAGAGTGGGCGTGCATATTCACGCATAAGGCACGGTCGTCGTTACATGTGTTGGACCCCCCCAGGGCCTCCAAGGCTCTGGGGGGGTCGAGGCTTGGCGTTTGGGACAGCTTGCGCTTTGTGTAGTATGCACTAGATTCACATCTACAGAGCAAACACAAGCATTTTAAGATCGTAACTTGTTTTCGTTCCATGTTGGTCATGCTCTTTATTAACAACTCTTGAGTAACTCCCTTCAAAGGGCCTCAGGTGGCCCCATGGTCAAGGTGTTCTGGCTCAGGCGCATCTGATGAAGAACCGTAGTTCGTATGGAATTGTTCTCGTGGGTGCAAAGCGCACGCTCGCACGCGCACGCTCGCACGCGCGCGCGCACGCACGTGCACGCACGCACACCACACACGCGCACACACACATACACACACTTTGAGTCAGCGGCGCAGAGGGTCGTCAGGCGCTGGCAGCAGATGGAATTTAGTCGAAAAGGCAGTGAAAGAGACGTCAATCATTGACGTGCAGGGATGGGTGGTGGGCGGGAAGGACTGTCGCCCAGCGAGCGTGCAGCGTCCAGAAGACCGAGGAGCACCTCCAAGCGTGCTCGACTCAAGGTGAACTGAAGCGCGAGCAGCCAGGTGCTAGTTGCAGCTGGATCATCCACGCCCACATATCAAGCCAGCGGCGCAGAGGGTCCTTAGGCGCGGAAGTGCAAGTGCTAATTGCGATCAAGCATGGTCGAAAGCGCAGCGAAACAGACGTGTCTAAAGCGCAAGCGCATAGTCGAAAGCGCAGCGCAGCGACACCGCGGGCCACCACGGGCCACCACTGGATGCCACGGTACAGCATTGGGACACCACGGCGGGACACCCCAGGCACCCACCCGCCAACCGAGGGGGCGGACTTCTGTCCTCGCCGCGCCCTGGCCAGAGGAGGGTCCATTCCTCTCGCCCACCCACGCAGATTCGCCTCGCCTCCACGCGCGACACGAACCCGAAACCGAAGCCGATTCTCTCGTGAGGGGCTCTCCGCTCCATATCGATCTCACCCCCTCACCCCCGATCCACCGTCGCTGGCCAGGTTCATCCCGGGCCTCGGAACAGTGCAGATGTCCCCCTGGCCAAGCCAGGGGGGCGCAAGCACCGCTCTCGGGCCCAGCATGGGCCTGGCCACTGGCGGCGGATGTGCGCAGACCCCCTGGAGAGCCGCCGAAGTGTACTCCTGCTCCCCTCGTGAGTGGCCCCTGCCGAGGCTGCTCTCGGCTTCGTCGCCGCGGCACCGGCCGCGAGCGCGCCGCAGGCAGGCGCCGCTCGTGTCCCCTCGTGTTTCGCGCAGCGCTGGCCCAGGGATCATGAGGGGATTTGTCGGGGGCGGCCAAGAGTCGACGATCTTCAGGACGTGTGTTAGCCCAGTGTGTATTTTTCTTCGTTCTGCTTCGCCGAGGGCACGCAGACTACCTCGGCCCTCATTACACCGCACGCGTCGTACGGAAGGGCTTCGGTGGACAAGCAGACGTTGGCGCAAACACACGTTCTGAGGATCATCGAAAGAGGGGTGTGGATATGATGGCTTGGGTCACATTGTTAGTCTCCCAGATTTCATAGCTCCCTCTTCTTCTTTCGAGAGGTCCCCTGGCCCCCCTGGGCCGCGCACATGCCTCGAGCCATGATGTGCGAACCCCCCTCTTGGACGTCCCCCTGTTGGACGCCCCGAGATAGGATGGGGGAGATCGGAGAGAATGAGACGGGGGACTAGTCAGAGGAGGAACATGTACCGATACCGCTGCGGTTCCCTCCTCGCCACGGCTGGACTCGCCTCGAACTCCTGGTCAGAACGCACCCCAGGAGAGGGCCGTGGAGTAGCGGTATCGGTATCTTTTGGTTCTTCCAGGGGTGGATTGGAGACTGGGACGGGGGGCTGGGGATTGCAGCCGGGGCGGGGGAGACCAGGATTGGTAACAGGTGGGGCTGTCATCGTCACCCAGCTCAGTGGTGGTCCCGGGTTCCCCTCTCTCTCCCCCTCTTTGCCCTATGTGTCCTGCAGTTGTGTATAGCCTTTTTGGCTCAGGGCGCGACTCAGACCTTGGAGTCGCTCAGAGAAGTTGTGCGTGCACATAAGGTGCCGTCCGCTCTCTTTCCCTTTCCCCTACATTTTCCGAGCCCCCTCTATCCTGTGACAGTGGTAGCGGAGCGTCTGGTCGTGAGGCAGACGGTGGGGAGGAGCGGACGAGCCGAGGGTAGCAGGTGCAGGACTCTTGGCGCCAGAAAGGAGAGTCAAGCCCTCGGCCGCCGGCATGCCGGCGGATGAGAAT